ACTTTTAAAAGCATTTAAATTGAAATTAATAAATTTAAATATGTAATTCAACTTCTTAATGATTATCGTGCAGCACAAGCACTTCAACATCATGAAGATTCAAAACCCATAAATTATGACTTTAATCTTTTCCAAAAAATCTAAAATCATCACCACACAGCCATTTAGAAAAAGTTTCGAGAATTTGTTCAAAATTAAATATTTGCCAACAAGAAAGATTAATGACATGCTTGTCCTCATCGTAGCCTTGGCAAAACAGATCTCTGAGAAATTATTTTACCCATCCTCGCCATCAATAATGAATTCTATGAAGTGTTGGAAAGATGCCAAAATAAAATTATATAGGCTACAATAAGCATTGAAGAGATTCCTTCAGCATAATTGCTTTTCACCCAAAATGTGATATTGCATAATAAATCATCAAAATTAGTCAAATGAATAATTTTTGACCCTAACAAATTATTTAAATTGAATTATATTTATACGTATTTGCATTTTGACTAAAAGTTTTCTCGTTCTCGGATGACTTTCGAACTGACGAGGTCAATATCATGTTGATCATGAAACATTTATGTCTGAATGTGTTTTACAATTTTTGGTTTTGATAATCGAAAGATATAAATTTTGTGAGATATAACATCAAATGGATGTTAAAATACTTTATGTATTTTGTTAAAAGGTAGGAACAAAACTTTTTCATTTTTCACAACAATCAGCTTTCTTCTTTGAAAAACTTTACTTCTTCAAATGTTTTCAATTTGTTGGTGGTCAGCATGCATTTAAAGCGACGGTTTGAAGCACATCCTGCTTTTCTAGTCTGCTCAGTTCTGTTCATTTTCAACGTCATCAAAAAGTCCTAGATTCCAATTATTGCGTACGATAAATTCTCGAACAAGAATGAAAATCACAGTTTTTAATTGAAAATTAAAATTCAACGTTGATATCTCGACTCAAATTGCATCGTTCCGTTTAATAAGATTAACATCCAATCATAGAGATAAAAGTTTTATAAATCACTGAATGAATGTGTGCTATAAGGCATAATAATACAATTTAACAATGCAAATACGCTTAAATAAATCGACATTCAATGAATACATTCTTAACTTCTTTATATTATTTTTGTGTTCATAAAAATGAACGTGAATGAAGGAAATAATCATTTTCAAATTTTATGCATCCATAGAAATGTAATTTGAGGTTTTGTTGACTTTTAAGAGCTTTTGAAATTGAATTTTTTTTAAAAATAAACATAATAATGCACATAAATTGAAATTCATTCCTGCAAGTAAAATGCAATAGAACTCGAATTATGTTCATTTTAAGTTCTTGCATGTCTTCTTCTCTATAAAACATCATTTTTCTGCATGTTTTATGAGTAAATTGAACACGAGCATGCAAATAAAAAAAAAGAACTTTATACTCGAGAGATGAATATTTGCAATAACATTCATTCATCTTCAATATGCGGTAAGGAGATACGTGTTATCATGCGGATTACTACTGAGTTATTGGTTTTATAGAGCAAAATTGTGGTCTGGTTGTTTGTCATATGGGTGTTTGTGGGATGGGTGTGGGATGGCGTCGTAGCAGAAATGTTCAAATTATTTTCAATGCATTTTAAAATTTTATTGTTTGGGTTCAATCAAAAATGACGTCTTTCTTCTGTTTAGAAAATTATGATGATTAATTCAATCTTATTCAATCACAGAATCTTTAATACAAAATCATAACACAATAAAGAAATAAATAAACACAAAATAAATATTTATTTAAGCGAGAATTTTGATAAGGAAATATAAAACATGTATAGATACATTTATTTACAAAAAGCGAGCTTCTACTCAGTTTACATTCAATAATAACAAAAATAAAATGACTTTTCCCCACAGAACAAATGTCAGAGTAAGAAGACGAAAAACAATCAAGAAGCAAATAAAAGAAAAATGAGATTGAAATGCGATCGATTCCGTGAATATGTGTAGACATATATCCATAGCTAGAAGAAGAAGAGTTATGCGTGCTGTAAGGCGGTTTTATGTGATTATTGCAAGGAAAATTAAAATTTATCTGACATTGACATGGTATTTATAAGAAAATTCCCTCAAGTCATATCATAACATATGGCTGCATAGCCGTGCATGTCACATAAATTTGTATCAACATGATAATTTTATCTCGTTATATACATGATAACCTTTGCGGAAGCTTCAAAAGTCATACAAGATCAGACGCTTGGATGATTTTACTTTTGCATATTTAAGGATATGAAAAACATTTTTTTATGAAGGTTATGATGCTCGTTTATGGTTAATGGTAGAATATGCTTTGAGTTTTTATTCAATTATGTGCCACCATACAATAGTTATTTCAATTGTTACTTCATGCCAGAAGGATTTTTTTAAAATCTAAAGCTTTAGAAAGTTGAAATTCAATAGAAACGTCGAAAGCTTTTGAATTTCCTATCTACAAAGGCTGTATTTTCATTGGAAGATTAGACTTTTGTTAAGATTAAGCCTATAAAAAAAACAGTACTAGATGTAAATTATCTGCCAAGCAACCATGCACAAAAATGTTAAGCTGAAGAAATAGAAACGAAATCTACAAAACAAACTTAAATTTCTCATGGTCATAATTTTTGAATGATCCCAAAACTCTGCACAAAGCTTCATTGCTAATTTTTTTCCTGAATTCTTTAGAATTGCTTCATTTTTAAGAATACATACGAGTATATGAATAACTTAATTCAATTCAAGTTGTAAGTTCAAAGAATTTTAAAATTAAAAGTAAATGAGGTTTTTTAATAGCATTTTGCTTTGTTTGAAATCATACCTTTTGATGTTGAGTTTTCATTGTTTTGCTAGACCATAAATTAAATTATTTTATCTGAAAAAGAATTTATTCATTTTTGAACGTTTATAAGCTTTTATACTTATCATTATTAAAATATTTTAAATTTTTTTTTATTCTACACATACCAGTCAAAGAAGCGGGGGGGGGGGGGGGGGGTCAGAGGAAAAGTGAAGGTGATTTTTTTTCCAAACCTAAATAAATTAAGTCATTTAGTCTTCTAAAGCTTTAAACTTGACTTTTCTCGCGTCACAAAGTTTGAGAACCACTGATTTAAATTCATTATGCATCATTCAGCCCACAAACCATTATGAAAGTGAGGATAAATACCAAAATAGTCGTTTATGATTCGAAATTCCTCAGAAAATTAATTTGTGCTCACCAAAAAATATTTTTTTGACACCGGTGGGAAATATTTCGCGGGAGTAGAAACAAAAGCATAAAAAACATCCTCAGCTGACAAGTTTAAGAACGGAAGAAATTCCTCAAGACTTTTTACAATTTCTTTTTTAAAGATCTCACGACAAAAAAAGGCTCATGACGCGTTGTAAATTTGTAAGACAAAAAAAGCTTCAGCTTAACGTCAATCAAGTGTCTCTCAAGTCTTGCTAATTTCCATTAAAGATCGTGTACCGATGGGCTTTTTAATTTTAATTAAATTAATTTTTTAATGTTGAGAAGCTAAGCATTTAATGTTCCGTTATACCACAAAGAAAACTCTTCAAGAAAAGCAAAAGAGAATCAATTTTTATATCCAAGGGCGAAAATAAAGATTAAAAGTTTTACACTTGCTCATCGGGGTCTATTTGCTTATATAATCTTTGTTTTTGACAATCTTTTAACCTTTTCTTCTTGATTTTTACTTTTAAAATTTATTCAAAATCTTTGTTTTTCAAAATAAACACCGCTTTGAAGAAAAACACTTGCTGGATTCCTAGATAAAACTTTTACCTTAATATTATCTTAACTTCTTTCCATTCGACTTTTTATGTCTACATATAAAGTCTAAATACTAAGAAATCGAAGTTTTGAGAAAAATAAGGGCTCAATTAAGCTTAATCTTGTCAATTTAAAACGAAAACTTTTTGCTTTCTTGCCTTGACAGTAATTGAATATTTTCTTTTTTAAAAAAAGCAGAAGAAATTTCATAATTTCTGAATATGAGGGTCGCTTAGGTAAAGAACTTTTTAAACTTTTTCTCTCTTTTTATTTTCCACGTTTTTTTTATGAAAGAAATTGTTGGGAAAATCTCTAAAGGAATAAAGACATTTAAAAGTTGATGTTTTAAACGCATTTTTCCTTATTTTCATTTTTAAAACAAAATGTTGAGATCCAAAGTAGATTTATTGCTTTGGTTAAATAGGTTAGCTATTTGAAAAAATAAAGCTAAGCTGGAATATTGAAACTTTTAAGCATGCTACGCAACAATTGTTAACCCAAAGCTTAGTCACGACCATTTAGCTCAGTGAATCTCAAACTATGGGTTACTACAAATTGTTCATCAGTTTCGTAGATTCTCGTATCACGACCCCCCCTCCGATCATAAAATATATATTTTTTTTTAAATTTTCAGTTTTATTGATTCATAACATTTTTCAATTGTGCTATGAATATTTATAATTTTAATTTGTAAAGTTTTTTAATTATTAATATTATTTGCATTACAATAAATTTCGAAAAAATGTTCCCTAATACGGTTTTTGAAAATGCTTATTGAGTTAAGTATATAAAATGTGTGACGAATATATGAAGAAAGTTTCTTTGGTTTGAACTGCCACAAAACTCTAGGCCTTCCTCTTTTTTAAATATTAATGAGATCTTTCTTCGAAGTCCTTCATAATAAAAGAACACAAAAATTCTTCAACATTTCATCACTAAATGTTGTTAAGGATAAATAAAAACCTCAACAAAAATTTATTGTGGTTAACTTTGTTCAAAAAATTGTTTCTGGCAAATTCTTAATATACATATTTTCTCAAGAAAAAGGAAAAATTTCCTTAGCTCACTTAACAGCAAATTTTTATTGAATCCTTTTTATTTCTTCTTCCTTAACATCAGCCATTTATTGATAAAAGAAAAACTTTTTATAAAAACTATTATTCAAAAAAAAAATTTTAATTATTTTTCCTTCCTTCCGTTTAATTAATCAGCAACATCGGTTAGTGTTTCAGCATGGACTCTAGTTGCGATAAGCGTTGAAAGGTACTATGCCATTTGTCATCCATTAAGATCGAGGCGATGGCAAACGCTGAAACATGCTTATAAATTAATCATACTTGTTTGGCTATCAAGTTTGGTGTTTATGTCGCCAATTGCAGCTCTCAGCAAACTAATTCCGACAAGTCAAGGTAATTTATTGCGATGTTAAGCAGTGAGTACACGAAACAGCAGTGATTTTGGTGGGAAACTCTGTTAGCTTTCCAAAAAAAAACTTTTATTTCTGTTTCTACGCACTTACTGAAAGTTTCCAAACAATCTGTTAACGTTATTTATATCCATCTCTTTGTATTTTATTTATAGGTCACAGAAAATGTCGCGAACTTTGGCCCGACGAGTCAATTGAGTTTGAGAAAATTTTCAATCTCTTTCTCGATATGTTTTTACTGGTGCTACCATTATTTGTGTTATTTGCAACATATTTTATGATAACAAGAACTTTATGGCAGGGTATAAGAACGGAAAGGGACGTGAAAAATCAATTAAGCAATTATACGAAATGTTTATGTAAGTATTCAATTAATTATTGGTGTTGGCATGTAATTATTCTTGTCTGACAAATTGTGCTCTGTTAAAAAGCGATAATTTATTTATTTATCAAATATTTATAAAAGCAACAACTTCGGCATTTAAAAATCCTATTGATAGGAATTAAAATTTGCATTAATTAATTCTGTAATTCAAATGCTGCGTCAGTGCTTTAATTAATTCGAACATTTTTTATTGTGTCTCGAGGGAATTTTTTCCGCACTCGTGCAAAATAAATCAGGCGATGAAATTTCAGTTTGCAAATATTTGTCCACACATCTGTTATTTGCCACAAATATTGAATCGAGTGTTTTATTCCCCATTTAGCGGTCGTTTATAAACAACGAACAATATTCAGAAAAGAATTGTGGCCTAGTTTGTGAGTGGTTGTGTCTAATGGAAACAAGTTTCATTTTTCAAAATGAATTTTTTGAGTTTTCAACTAGTCTAGATCATTGAAGGTGGAAATAATCCTTTCTCTGGCAAAATATCCTCAGCTTCACAAGCTGATTCATAAAAAAAACATCAGCATTATTTCATATTTAACTGAGGTTTTTTTTCTGAAAAATATTTAAAATTTTATGCATTGTCGCGTTTTTTTATTTCCGCTCTTTTTCCAAATAATAGAATTTTCCATTTTCATTTTGTTGATAAAATGACCTTTTTGTGGAAATTAAAGTGCATTCATCAACAGACAATTACGCTCTCATTCATTGAGCTCTACTCAAGCAACTTTATTGACTTTTTATTTAAAATTATTCATGAGAAAAATAAATGAAAAACTTAATCTGAACTGCAGAATCAACATTTCATTTCCTTTCGAATTTAGTTCATAGTTTTCAAGTCAAGAAACTGAGCTTTTTGCGTTGTTGAGATCTCTCACAAGGTTGATCATTATAATGCTTTCTTGGTATCAAGATTATTCCCAATTATCTTAAGAGATGGAACATAAAAAGCCTCAAAAAGTTTTTATATTGTACTTTGTCAAATAAATTCTTTGGAAGTTAGTTGAAATGACGCAGTAGTACAGTAATATATGTTTAGGCATTTACAGACTTCAATGACAACATAAATTTCTAGATCTAAACTTAAGGTCAAGCAGATTACGTCTTAAATTATTGATTTCTTAAACAAAAGAAAGAAAACGATTCTTAAATCTTAGTTTTAGAGGAAGTCATAAATGAATGATTCCTTATCCAAAATATGAGAAAGACCAGAACTTATTTAAATACAAATCAAATCAAACCCATTAAAAGGATGTCATTTGAATAATTTGAAGCATAAAAACTCTACAATAAAGTCTCAAACCTTAAAATCCACTTAATTAACGAATTAAAGTTCAACTTGAGTGTTTTTATTTACGGTTATTATTGAGAGTGGAGGTTTTCATTCAAGTAAATCTAATACCCATACAATAAAGTCTCTCAATAAATTTTTCAATTAACATTGAAGCTTCTTATTCATTCAAAAGACAATGTTGTCTGCCTTGTAATTTCAATTTTATATTGAGAAAAATATTTTATTGTTTCTAATTTGCATACCGTACTTATTTTCATTCAATCTTGGTATCTAAAATGAGACAGATGAATTCAGTTATATTTAATTCAGTGAACGACTTCTTTAATTTTATTGAAAAACTCGTTTGTCCTTGAAAAATGTTGGTATTCTATTTGGGGGAAATTCATTTAAATATTCTTTGAATAAATTATCTTTTTTTGAAAGATTCAAGAACTTTAAAAGAAAAGATTTTAAAACTTTTTACCATGTTGTGGCTGATGATAGAACTTGTGTCTTAGTCATAATGATTGTCTTAATTGAATAATTTATCAATTGAAATAGAAAACACATAATTTTGAAGGCTGTAAAATAGACGCATCACAAATAGCTTTAATCCAAAATGATCATGGGATGAGGCGTGAAATAGAAACTTTTGAAAATTGAATTTTATTGGTATTAAAACAAATTTAAATGCTTAAGCTTTTTCTTTAATCTTTGAGAAAAAATCTTCATATTAATTTGTAATGCAGATTAATCTCACACGATTTATAACGTAGCTCAAATCGAAATTTCATTTATGGAATTTTATTTGACAGGATTTTTTTAAGACCTAATCATAAAAAGAAACACAATTCAACTTAACCAAATCTGTAATTCAAATAAACTGAATTTTAAATTTTTCTCATTTTTATCTTTAAATTATTGAAGTAAAAGTGTTACCAATGTTCAATTTTGTTTCTCTTTAAACAAACCTTAAAAATTCTTAAATCTGAAATTGCGTAAATCGCTCAATTTTTTTCTATCAATGTTAAAAAGTTCCCACAAGAGCGACCTTCGATTAAAAAAGGGTCGAAAAAAAAACAAATTTCGCTTCCTCTTCAACCAAAAGCAAACAAGAGTAAATGACACATTGTTTTGATGGTCTTTTTTTATTGACGCACTTTTAAGTGACATTGAAATAAAAAGAGAAAATTTATTATTCTGGGTGGTTCAATTTGTACAGAAAAACGTTTAGGTGTTTAATGAGTTTTTGTGTAATTATTTGAAAACAAAAATTACATTTTTTAAAGAGAGTTTTTAACAATTGACTTTGTTTAAATTGTAAATAATGTTTATCTTGCATGAATTAAAGCTCAAAACTTCCAAAGGAATACTGAATCAACTTACACAAACGAGTTTTTCATTTAGCACCTAGACTTTTAACAAAACTTGCTTTAAAAAAATACAGAGTTTAATAGAACTAAATCCTTATGTTAGACGTCACAAGTGAACAACCTTCGCAATCTTCATGATTTTTTTTTCTTCTAAACTTGATGTTTCATTAAAAGCTTTTTTTACAAATAAATCTAAGATTTTTTAAGAAACGTAATAAAATAATATGTAAACTTATTTCTGAAAGGTCAGCAAAGGAAAACAAAATGATTTTTTAACTATTTGTTCAAAGTTTAAACATTGAAGAACTTCAAGAAGAAGAAAACTAAGAATTTTTGATTCTTTAAGTTGATTTGAGTACACATTTTAGTAGAACCAAAATCGATTTTGAGCATTGAGGCTTTCAAACCCTACAAAATCCATTCTAGATACGTCTTGGTTTGTCAAGCTCATTGTTAAATACTAAAAGATTTAAGGTAAAAAAACATCGTATTAAAAGATTTTGTTCTACTTTTCGAGAATTGTATAAATCTTTTTATGATAATGGAATAAATGAAATGCTAATGTTGACTTTACAAACAGACTTATTATATTTAGAAGATATACTTTCATAAATTGTTTGCTGTACTCATACTTTAAGCTTATAAATTAATGTCTTTAATAAAAATTGTTTGAGTTACTAGGAAACATTTTTTAATAGATTTTAAATAAGGGCAATTCTTTGGATGAGTGGAATTTGAAAAAAATGAGCTTTCATAATCCAATGTCAATGAGTTTTGTGTCAATAAAATGTTTTCTTTAATTTCATATTACTACGAAGGAATAATCAGCCTGAATTTTCGTAGATCATTGAGCATAATTAAATCTTTACAAGTGATCTATTGAAATGTTACAACTCACCCAAATTAAGTGAAAAATTGAAAAAATATGTTTGAAAATTTTGGATTTTTTCACGGATGAAGACAAAAAAAAGCTTTTTTATAACTCGATGACACAAGGAAATTTTTCAAAGAATTGAAATATTTCAATAATTAATGATTTACAGCATATGAAAAAGCAACTCAATTAAAGATTTTTGCCTGATCTATAACTCAGTAAAAGTTATTCAATGTGGATATCAATAGTTTTCTCTAATTTTCGATTCTTCGGATGATGAAAATTGAAAATTCCGATTTCTGTCATCGAGTTATTGTCTGAAGAATCCAAATAACTTAATTAATATAGCGATTAGAAGTGCATGATATCAAAAGTAGTGTTCATTTTAGATTTTTACATCGATAAGAATCAAAAAATCAGTGTCTCTGATGGGAAAAATCAATAAAATTTCGATTTTTGTCTGAAAATTTTCCAAAAGTCATCCAAAGAATTGCCCATAAACGGAAGTAGAAGAACGAAGAAACTTTCAAATTAAGACAATTTTAAAAAGCTCGAAAAAAACTTAAATTATTAATGTTCGCTCGAAAAACTTTCAACAAATTTTTAATTATATTTCACCTACTTATAGACGCCTAGATTTCTTAAGAACTCCTTATTTCAAACTTGAGTGGTTGATAATCGAGAAAATAAAATTTAATTGGAAAACTTCTCAGCTTTTCTTCATTCTGAAAAGTGTGACTTCAAGGTGGAAAAATCTATTTTCATCTGATAATTTTTAAATTGCACATTAAAAAATATAAAATTGCATTATGACTTACTTTCGTATCGATCTTAACCCCACAGCTCATCCCATGCTTTTAATCTGGTCTTGCAGCTTCATTGTAGATTAAAAAAATTTAATTTATTTTCTAGCTTTAATTCGTTTTCAGCATGATTTTGCATCGAATTAACTTTATAATTAATAAATCAATAAGAAAACTTTGTCATCTTGTTTCATTCAATCCACCCACATCACACTTTGAATGATTTATCCATCGCAAGTCTTTTCTTCAGCTTTATCCTCTAATTCATTTTTTCCAATTGACTTTTCATCTCCTTCTGCGTACCTCATAGGAAAAAAAAATTCAAAAATTTATATATAAATTTAATAAAAAGAAAACAAAATCATTTTGAAATGGGTACATGTCGCTTTTATTGAAGTCTTAAAACAAAAAGAACGGGAAGTACTCAAATTGTTTCTTCTTTTTTCGGAAATTGGAAATTTGAGTTTATTAAATTTTGTTTGACCGGAATGAATAAATTTGATAAAAATTGTCTATATTTAGCAGGATATTCAGCAATACAATGAATAGGAAAGTAGGAGCGTAGCTGAAGTGTGAGCTAAGTGGATTTTTTTTCTGTGAAATTTTCTAGCAATTTAAATAGTTTTTTTTTGTTTCAATAAAGTTTTAACTTTTAACAGACGAGAATATCCACCCATTACGCTTCCTCCTGGCTATTCCTCAATAAGATAGTAATAAGATTGACAAAAAATAATAGACTTGACGCTAGGATGGATTTAAAAGTATCTAATTTGAGATAAACTAAAAAAACGGCATTTAATGGCTACAATCGTGCAGAACAAAATGATTTGATTAAGCTTGGATTTTGCATATAACATTGATTGAGTTTCTAAATAAAAAGAATTTTTAATGAAATCACGTCTTAATCATTTGGGGAACAACTCATGCTTAAATCGAATATTCTTGACTTCTTTGAACAATTTCGCTAACAGCCTTCAAATTGACATTTGATACTGATTCTTCATAATCGTAAAATTAATTTAATAAAATTGCTTTTTCGAGAACTTTTTAAAAAAAAAAATTTCTCAAATTTCTGCAGAAAGCTATTCATAAAGATGACGTCAAATGGAGCTGTTAGTGACAGATTCTTGTTTATGACTAGTCGTTTTTGGAGCTTGAAATTCAAATGAATGTTTTTTCTTCAAAATTGCACCTTTTAATCTTCCTCAGCTCGCTCACAAATCTTTGAATCTTAAGTTTCGATACTTGCGAAACCAAACAAATTTATATGAGCAGCAAATCTGGTAGATAAGCAAATTTAATGTTCAACATTTATGACTACCTTCTTGGAAAAGATAAAATTGAGGTTTACCTGAGATGGTTTTCATTCCATCCAACAAGAAGTTTAAAACGAATGAAAACAATAAATGTTCAACAACATCTTTATTGTTAAGACAACTGCATAAAATGGTAATTCCTGCATAAAATAGCAAAACTTACAATAGTAAATAGAGTTGATGTTTTAGAATGAAGTAAGTAAACTGCACTACTGGACAGATGCGTTTGAATTCTCGTATAATAAGTCTATAATCTTAAAAGTTTTGAAATTTTTTAATGTGACATCCTAAAGCATTACTTTCTGAAAAACCTCGAACCAGATTTTTAATTCATTAATACTGTTACAAAATTTAATAAAAACCCCTAATTCAATATTGGATTCATTTCTCACTTCTTGTTGTACAAATTTAATAAAAGAATTTATAAGACATTTGTAAAGAATGAAAATCTTGTCAGCTGTATCTCAAAACCAACATTTCCCAGAAGGTACGCTCAAATGTTTACTCATGAAGATTTTCACAACTGATGTCTGGGCAAAATAAAAAAAAAATGTACATTTAAATTGCTAGATATTTTTTTATTCTTAAATCCTTAACTTCTGGAATCCACAAAGATAAAAATTATACAAATTTATTCAAAAGGATAAAACTTAATTAAAGATTTTCAATAACTTATGACACTCAAAATGAAATTCTCCTTAAAATTGAAAAATTATTGACCGTAATAATCTCTCCTTTAAGGTAACTAGAACGAGGTCGTCAATAGCACTCGTCTAGTATTATTTTTGGAACTTGTCATAAAACGACAGACATAAATTTATTTCCATAATAATTATATGGTTTGTGAGAGCTTCCTCAAGAAGATTTTCTTCCATGAATTAAATAGGACTTATTCTCGCATGAGCTGTTTAGGAAGGAAGTAAATTTATAAACTAAGGACACTTCTCAAAATCTGTTCATTTCTAAATCTTACTCCACTCTTGGTTCCATTAAAAGCTTTGTTTTAGATGTTGAGATGTAAGTGGTAAAAATCACATAGTTTTAGCTAAAAAACAAATTTGGTTCGAATCCTTAAGCCAAGGGGAAGTTGAATTTTTTTCTGCAAATTTGAAGCTCAGCTTGTAGCTTAATCATTCGTGTACCATTAAAATTGAACAAAAGTTTTAAATTAAGAGATCTGTGAACTAAAAAGTCACTCTGCTAGACAATTTGTTATCAAATTGATAACTTTTAAACAGGGTTGCGATACAGGCACCTGTGCACATGTGAGAACCGTACAATTCCTTGATAATTTAAATGGTTTTTTTATTAAAGCCATACAAATTCTAATAAAACCTCACAAATTATCAAGGTATTGTATAGTGTATCGCAACCCTGCTTTTAAATAATCTAATCAATTATTTTTCATTCTTTCTTAAAAAATTCAATAAAATTCTAAAGTTATAAAACATTAAACAGAAATTTATGCACTCAAAAGAAAAATAATTTTCCAAAGCCTTGCGCAATATAATTTTAACACGTAAAGCTACAAGAGCGTTTCCAATGGCTTCAATAATAATAAGAGCATAAATTTAATATATAATTTATATGAACGTTAGCGGAGCATTCAAACCACAACGCATGTAATTATGAACATTTTATGTTCCTTATTCATGAAATTAATTAAATTTCACATTTCAAGAATTTCCATGTGGAATTACAGCTATTTATCATAATTCTTCATATTTATCTCGTTTCAGCAGCCAAAAATTCCGTAGAGGTCTATATACGTAACGGTGGTACAAAGAGTCGATGCTCTCAATATTGTGGTACGCGTAAAGGTTCCGAAGGGAATTTATCATTGCATCAAGTACAAAATGGATCACAAGATGTTACACCATCAATACAGAAAAATGATTCGAGCCGAATTAATGGACCGAATTTGCGAAGGTAATTAATTAGATTTTAGCTTGTTGCTGTATGCTCATTTGACGAACATTTAATTGAAAATGTCTCTAAAATTCAATTTCAATTTTAGCTTTACATTAAATTTTAAATGATTTATTGATATTCTAAATGCTTCATTTTTCTCATGCTATATCATTTATAAGGTTGCCATAATAAGCATCAAAGAGATTCTCAATTTAATTAAAATTCGATTAAATAATACTTCACATGTTTGATGCCGAAAACATTTATTGCACATTTTGGTAATTACTTCAAAAGATAATATTCATTGAAGTTTTTTGTTGACAGTATAATATTAGTCTCAAGTTATCAAAACAGTTTGAAGGTTGATCACTTATTATTTAACAAATAAAAATTAATTTTTTGACTCCACAACTTCCTGCTTTTCACTTATTTTTCATGAAAAAAATTGGTTTTTTTGATGCATTACAAAATTTTAACTCAATCCCGCTTTAAAGCGTTACGTAATAAGTGAAGCGTATCTTGTTTCTGCTGTTTTGGTAGGATTCAGATATAAAACCTCTTTTTTGACTAGAGCTTTCCTATAGAAACCTTGGTCTTATGAAATTTTCAAGATTGATACGAGATCAACTCCAAGAATTCTTAGAATATTAACATCAAAAAGCGTTAATCTCAATGCTTTTATACAGGATATGCTCTATAAACTAGTCATAAAGCTAATTTAGTACACCTAAAGTTCTTGTTGATAACTTTCCAATAATGAGATTTGCTGCAACTCTTCATCGTCAAATAGTTCTCGAAAATTATTTCATCAAGAATTCCAAGACTCATTAAAAGTTTTCAATTGAACAATATTTTAAACTCAATTACTCAAAAGATGAAGTTGAATTTGAAAAGACTTTTTCGATATCAAGTTTGCAAATCAAAAATATTGACTGATTAAATTTTCTCTCTCTTTTCTTTCATTTCATGTCTACATATCATAATCACATTTTCACATACACTCGATTGACAACATAAACAAACTTTTATAATTAGATCAAATGCCGAGAAAAGTCTTCTGAACAAGAAACGTGTCATCAAGATGCTGTTTGTTGTTGTACTTGAATTCTTTCTGTGCTGGACACCATTATATGTGATAAATACGATTGCTCTCTTCGATCCAATAATCATTTATCAAAATCTAGGATATACGGCAATCAGTTTCTTCCAGTTACTGGCATATTCATCATCATGTTGCAACCCAATCACGTATTGTTTTATGTCAACGGGCTTCAGAAAAGCATTCGTAAATTTATTCCGGTGCTTACGACAAAATCATCATCAACAGAGACGACGTGTTAGTTTGAGTTGTTGTGGAGCAAACACACTACCGAATACAGCCATGTTAAATCCGATACAAAACGGAAATGAGACAAACATACACAACAGCGGCTTGCTAAACTCAGGAAGTGAGACATTCGATTTATCACGACATGATTCATATCGTATACATAAGCGAAATGATGACAATGATGAAAGTTTTATGAAGGAATCATTAAAGAAATGAGTGGAAATATGGAAAAAATGTAAAAATGGTACAAATGAAAAATTATCCAAGCGCATTTTTATTATTTTGAAGAGTCAGCATAGATCAATATTTTACTAAACTCATAATATTGCTTTCATTTTCCATTTGCTGTACTTTTAAGAATTTTCAGAATAAACACTCATGTGATATGGAAACTCCTGACTTGCTGGTCGTTTCTATAACTCAACTTTCATACTGCAAAGGTTACAACTTTCATTAAATCCAGACGAATGAATCAATTCGTTTAAACTCAATGAAAATTGAGAATATTCTGTCAAATTAATAAAAATGCGCTAAACCACATTGTTCTGGGGTTTTTAAAAATTCTTGTGAAATGCATCGAAACTTATTTTTCTTATTTTAAGCTAGATAAATGTTCAAAAACAGATAAATAAATTTTATTAAAAAACTGAGAATTTTAAAAAATCCCGGAATCTTTATAAATAATTAAAAATTCTTTTAATTCCACTCGCTTTTGTCAATGTTTATAAAAAAAAAAAAACATTAAAAAATAACGACTGATTCTAATTGAATAATCAATTGACAATGTTGTGCTATTGAGTACAAAAAAAGATAGTGAAAGATATGATGTAAATTTGTTAAGTAAAAGGATGTAAAGATAATAATAAAAATGAAATTCGCTGTGTTATCAATTTAAAGGAAAGCATTTTTTTCTCTTAATTATCAATTTTAATTTAATTTCAGCAAGTGTTGATGTTTAAAAGTACGTAATTTATGCTTTGGATAACAATTTAGTTTTTACTGAAGTCAATCGACCCATTCTGTTTTAAATAAAATGTTTATCGCGCAATGCATCATTTCATCAGCTGATCATCGCTTTGATTATGTGGGAAAATGCTCTAAGGTTTAGGTTATGAGCACTGTGTAGTGAACATCTCTTTTTGAAGGCTAATCATTTTATTCTTATCATGTAGACTTGAATGCCGAATCAAATATAATGTCAGGACACCCCTGACATCAATTTATGCACGATCATCATAACTGACTTCATTGAGGACCGTTATAATAGACATTGTCCTCTTTAGCTCCTCTAATAGCATATAGTAGTTTTGTAGCTCTGATTTAACTGATAGACACAGAAGCGTAGCCTGAAACTTCTCAAAAGAATCCTTAGTATCCTACCTAGTCTACGTCTTTTATTATACATTAAAATATATTAAATATTCATATTCATCATTTAGTTTGAGTAAAAACTACATATTCTTGTATTTGTTCAACAAGAATTCATCATTTAAATGTGTAAATACAAGTTATTTTTATTTTTTTTTTTGCAGACTCTATCTTCATGTTCACAAAAAGGAAATGAATTAAAATACTTTTAAGTGTATGAAATGCTGAATTATAGAGAAATGAAAACATAAAACTCATGCATTTTTCTATTTCTTTCATTTTCAATATGAACTGAATGTAGAATCCAAATATGGAAATTTAAAGGTTGTTTAGCTTATTAAGTACGTTGGTTCTCATGAGAGCTCTTACTAATTGAAATAGCTTTCTGAATATCAAATCCAGGTACATAAAATAATTTCTAAAATTCAACATATTTAGCATAAAAATTTCAACTGTAGAAATAGAAGGAAGAAAGAGATATTTTCTGTAACTTTTTAAATGTGCTTATCTTACATCTCACAAAATCTCATCATTTTTAAAAAAATCATATCATATTCCACTCAACAAGTTTCAAATTTCATAGATGAAATGATATCAAAAATTTTCATTTTAAAAGAAAAGTTTGAGGATCGATAATTTGAAGAAATTCCATTTTACTAAGTCTTTAAAGCATTTCATGAAGCAAACGTGACTTTAAGGATGTTTAAATAACTTGATTTAATATTATTACGCATGATTTACAATCGACCCCAAAACATATATTCAATATTTAATCCAAAAATATTTTCAGACAAGAGGATACGATATTTGATGGAATATCAAAGGATTATTCGAATTCATTTACAGATTAAATAGATTATTTTAGCTTTATTCGACAGAGCATTAATAGATTAATGTTTTTGATGTAAATGAATTTTATTCTAGCTTCACTGTAATCAATATCATTAATTGCTTGCCTCAAATGGAATATTCGGAACAGGACTTTGTCATGTGATTTAATCCATTTTTCAGATTGTTTTAAATTTGGATTCCAACAATGGCGGAACTCTGAAATACAATTGTGATTTAACTCAAAAAAGCATATTTAGCATCGACTTAAACATTTCTCATAAATCATTTAATGACGCAACACAAGTGCATATATTAAATTTAATTACGTAGGTGCAAAAAATGATTTTCTTAAGAATGTAAGTTTTCTTTTTGATTAGCAGCTAATTAAAAACTTTCTATGAGTTTGACAACACTTTATTAACAAATTAGGGATATTAATTAAAATTGATTAAAATGATTATGAATTAATTGAATGTCGAAGAAAATCACATAGCTAGCTAATTACAAACGACTTAATTTCCTTCGAAATGATTTTTTTTTTAAATTATTATCCCTGAATATCGTTAATTTATTTGAAACCTTAATGTCGTTAGAATTAAAACTTTGTTTATATTGTTTGCTTGTAGAATTAGACAAATTAAATGAGAAAATTCCAAATTTATTGCCATTGATTCAAATTATTTTCTACAATTATTTGCTTTTGTAAATTAATAATAAATTCAATTGCGTCTAACCATAAACTCATTTATAATTCACGAGTTTTTGGCACAAAACATTCACATGAGAATTCACAAAATTATTTGCCCCGCAAAACCTCAGTTGAATTATTTTATATTAATAATATTTTTTTTTTGTTTTTGCTAACCGACAGGATAAACTAATAATGTCTCCAGATCGCATTTATGTTTCGAAGCAATATTGCTTTTTCAAATGTGTGTGGGAAGAATATGCTAAAATTTTTCATGGCAAATCGATATGATGCTCAATTACAGACAATCCTTAATTAAGGTAAAACTCATAAAATGGTTTGGACTTCTTATTTGTCATTAGAACCTATTAGAACCAATGAATTATTAAAAGATTACGCTTTGTAGCATTAGAAATGAAATTATAGAAGATGAAATACAAGAAATACAAAAAATATCTTTTTATGTTCAGTAAAATGCAGGGGGGGGGGGTACAGATAAAAATTGCTAAGAAAAAAAAACTTAAAAATGTGTACTGTGATGAAATTTTCAAGTACTCGACAAACGAAATTGAAAGGAACTGAAGCATCCAAGTAAAAATTTTTATATGTCAAAAGTTTTTAAATCATGATTCTCATCAGTTCCAATCGGAAGGAATTATTGCAACAATTTTTGCTGTGTCCCCCTCTGGTAAAATGATAAAAAACTTTACTTTTTCTTTTGAGTAAATCAAGGCTCCCGCAGATTATAATCTTTTAAAAACAAGGATTATAATCTTTGCATTTCTTATTTAAAGATTATAATCTGCGGGAGCCTTGGAGTAAATCGTGTGAATTGTAATTACATCACAGCATGTGCTAAAAACTTATTCATCAATACTGATATATTCATTGAATGAAGTATGAACTGCATATACATTCTCAATTGATACATTGAATATTCCGATACAACATACATAGTTCCTTTAAATGATATTAGCAGCAGAGTATAAAGCTTTTTTAAGAGTCACTCAATATCAAATTGAAATTCTTAAACTTCTCCGTAGATCTTGTATATTGAGTATGTTATATCACGTGTATGTTCTTCCTTATTGTATCATAAATATTTCTCAAATATTCCTTAATATATTAAGCTTCAAGATATGTATGAACATACTGAGAATGATATCAGATAATGCATAACGTTGAATAAACATAGATGAAAAATAAGTCTTCTTCTTATAGAATAGAATAAAGTACGTGCATTGAAGCTAAGTATGAGTTATTCATGTGATCAGGGGTGTATCTAAGGATATTCAATCTATTTTTTGCAAACTATAATGAAAAGATAAGCTTTTAACAACATCCCTGTAATGCTCAGCTAGATCATTGATAGCATACATATCTTAATAATTGGTCTAGATGTTTTATCGAGGATAAGACAACATGATGAGAATTCCCCATCAAAAAATTTCCCATCATATTGTCTTCCCCTCGTGCTTCATACTTTTATATTCAAAAGTTTCAAAAATCGATAGCGTTCATTGAAAGAATAATCTCAAATTTTACTGAAATAAATATCTCCTTATCGAATCGTTGTTTAATTCTTTAAACAACCTTTGAACCAAGAATCTCTGCCTTGAGCGTCATAATTGTCAACAAAACAATCAAAACATGTCAATAAGGAGCAACCAAGCTCTATTTTGTAGTGAATATAAACAAGTGGTTAAACGAGAGTATAAATAATATTTTCTGTAAATAACATGCATAAAAACTTTGACTTAATCAGCATCTAGTAAATGAATGGAGCAGAATGGAGTTGTTTAGGAAATTAGTATTTGTTATTAACGCTATTTTAAGAACTTCGGAAAGCTTCCTTTCATTAAAATTATTTGTTGAATGCGTCGAAAGTTCTCATTCTGATTCGCTCAAGTCAAGTCGACTTAGAGTTGACTCCGAAAAACTCAAGTCGACTCGAACCCCTTCGAGCTCTGTGAACGAGACATGAGACTTTCAAACATTCTGGGAGAACAGAGAGACAGACTGACAAATTTTATTGTGTTCTTATTATTTATATCATTAATGGCACTTTCAAAAACACTTAATGTCTACATAAATCAAAATCCATTATTGAACCTAACTTTCGAATTGTTCTAATTTAATATTCAAATGTCTAAACACTTTCAATATTACATCATTATTTCCACTTAACAGTTTGCCTACACATGTTTCCTTTCTCATATCATAACTTCAGTATAAATGTCAAGTTTGTCCATTGAATTTTTTACAGTCAATTATTTGTGTTACAGATAACAACAAACTCATACATAATAGCTGACATAAGCCTTTCAACAAAGGATGTTTATCATTAAAAGTTTTACATTGTTTGCACTTATCATGTCACTTTCGTGTAAAGCAAAACTTTACAGTGGAAAATGTCCAAAGATTTATAAGAACGTGACAATTGATTGTAAAAATAAACTATTCAGTAGAGAGTTAAAAGTTGTTGGATTGTTAAGCTCATCATCGGATACTCTGAACTTTTTCCATAACGAATTTGATTCAATTAAATGCATAAGTATTGAATTAAATTGCTTAAACTATGAAGGTTATCTATTAGACTTCAATATTGTCTGCAATGTTTTGGAAAATTTTAAGCACTGCTATCCAATTGTAATGAGTTCAGGAACAAAATTGAATGAATATCATCTAAAATTTGACTTTACCAAGAATACATTTTGTCCAGAGGACATAATTAAGAAGGAAATTCAGTTCCTTTATAATGATAATTTCCAGCATATGATTATCTATGGATGCTACGAAAGTAAGCAAAATGTGAGTGACTATGGTGTGTGGATCCTCGCAACAGACGAGTTAATGCAAAAAGTCAAAGTTCAAGAGTTTAAGGAACAAACTAAAAAGATTTTAGATGAAGTAAATCCAAATTTAATGACTGACGTGTTGTTTTATGATGCTGATATGCAGGAGTGTAACTGCAACGCTTGTGACTACTTCATGAGTTGTGAAACATCCCAGAAATTTAAAATGAATAAAGAATCACGTGGGAATAAAACAGGAGTTGCATCGCTGATTATATTCATCGTATTCATGGTATTCATTAAAAATGTATTTATTGCACAGATGGAGTGAGCTTGGATAATGTTTCTAGATTATTTGATTCATTGTATAATGTGCACTCTTTTGAGAACTGATCAAGCTTTGGAGAATTCTAAGTGCATACAAAAAATTAAGTTCACAGTTTGATTAATAAATTAAAAATATGCTAATGATGTTGTACGCTTAGCTGAATACCTATTAAATTATCTCTTAAATTATTTAAGTTAAATAGCACTTACAAATGTTACTGTCCACAAAATCGTGAACGTTAAACACAATTTAGTTCCAGATGCATCAATAATTGGAAACATTACAAGTGCTGTATAAAAAAGAGTTGCTAAAACAACAAATCTAAATTTCTTTCGTATCAGCTTTTGAAAATTAATTCAATTTTTGTTATTACTGAATGTTGACTTATTTAGGATGATTGGTGACATAAATTTCATTTTAACCGCGAATATTTTAACCAAAAAAAAAACAACATAAACAACTATTGCATATTTATAACTTATTCAGCTAGTCTGGTGGATGTTTGTGGATCATCAACATAATTTATTGCTTGGGTTAACATTTAACCTTAATTTATATCGTTCAATTTTGGGTTTTGATTTTAAGTCTGCAAATAGATTTTAATTAAAATTTGCAAAGCTTTCGTTCACTGGTTAAGTTTTGTAAAAAAAATTACTTTTTGAATCCCTTCCTTCCATCACAAAATTTCAGATCTCTTAGGCGTCGTTCACTTATGACGTCCGAATTTAACGGTCATTTTTCATAAAAGAACAATGAATTTCCAGGAATTTCTATTGTTCTTTTCTTGCTGACCCCCCCCCCCCCTGGACGACATAAGTGAACGGACCCTTAAAAAGTGGCCCAAATAAGTGAACAACCCCCAAAGAAATTAGTATAAATAGCAAATTGAGATTAATAGAACATCCAAGCTTGAATTCCGTTATCCAAAAATATAATTTAAAGAATACAAACACGTCTGACAGGCGAAACATTTGGTGCTTAATGTCTATTGTGCCGCACCCTTCCCTACAATATTAATTTATATGCCTTCGGCATTGCAATGGGATATTTATTGATAATTTCAGATATGTGGGCGAAAAGTTATCATTTATCATCAACCACGCCTTAAAAAGCTTCTCTACATTCATTTTCGAAGGTTAGATAGTAGAAGATTTATATTAAGGAGTTTGGAAATGCGGTCAAGATTTCGGTGCTAAAATATTTGATGATTAACTTCATTAAGGCATCTTTATCCTTGAGACACTTGCTAATCTAATTTTATATAATCTGTTTCATCTTATTTAAAAAATCAATTTTAAGCCACAAAATATTTTTTCCATGAGAACTAAAGTTGTAATATAAACAGTCATGCTGAGCATATTGATAACTACAATATTTCAACAAGTTAAGGATCTGACAGCCAATCCATTAGCACAAAATTAAACATACTGTGATTTATTTTCTGGTGATAAATCACTATGTGTAGCACAGTCGATCCATTAAATTTATTAATTGATTCTTAATTGAATGAGAATCCAACTGAGATAGTAACGAGGAACAAAGCGACACTTAATAATTATTGAAATATTTTGTACAGCTTTTGTTTGATTAATCATGAATGTAGGATTAATGCAGTGTGAATTTTATATGACAATTATTAAAATTAAATGTTGATTTTGTTATTTATTGACTGCTGAATATTGAGATTTGGTTGAATATTGAAATTAAGTTGTGAATCCTTCACAATATTTTGAATTATGGCAATCAATCAAAAGGAATTTTCTTTGGAACTATCAGCTGCATTATAACTGTACTTATTTTGATTCCATTATATTTTAATTCTCAAAATTGATGAAGATTACACTTTTTATATAGCACTGATTTGAAATGTTTTAAAAGTGCATTTAATTAAATTAATCTAAAAGCTATTAAGCAACTAAACGTTTAAGTAAATTCCCTTGAAATATTCATGAAAATAAGGTAATTTTAATTCCATTAAAAACTTGAGCTTTTGCTGGTTTATGCACAGTTTTATTTTACAGTTGAATATTTCAATTGAGTAAAACTTTTTTCAAATATAATAAATACTTTTTGTTCATTTATATGCAAGATCATGATTATTTAAAATAGAATCGTGCTTCAGAAGAATTAAAGAGATTATTATTCAAAATGAAAATATCCTCATTTTTAATTTTAAAAAACCAGTCTTCATCTTTATAAATATAGAACTATCCGGTTGTGAACTACAAAACTGTTGTATTGAAACAAATATTGAATTAAAGATTACAATGTCTTGTTTAATACTTAAAAGATGTTATCATCTATCAATAAGAACAAAAGAGAAATGAACAAAAAGCTAAAATTTGTGATCTCTTTTAATGTAATGCTGAATATGTCGACGTATTTTTCTGGTGAAGAGCATAGCTAAGAAGTAAAACCGAAATCAACAGATTCTCAACCAAAAATTAAACTTCACGATGTTTAAAGCGTAAAAAACACAACTTTTGATTTATTTTCATTAAATATCAGTAAGATCTTCATAATTATGAGATTTATTTTGCGTCTATTCAGTAAAGAAAATTAACCTTGATCATGCTTCTGAGAAATGTTTGGTTGCATTTCTGATGTCTAGTACCAATGAAGTGAAGCAGTAGTTGAGAGAGAAGATTTTCTGTAAAAATCAAGAGGACTCATTGAATTTTTATTGTTGATTATTTGTATTGTTATAACTGACATTTCTGAATAAAATTGAAGATAAAATCGATTCAACTATCATGTTTTTTTGCTAGTGAAGTTTTTCACATTGCTTTCAGTTTTCATAAATCTTGAGTTATAGAGTGGTGAAGCAAGGGTTTGTGACGCACGGAACTAAATTAACAGTTTGGGTAATATTAAAAGACTTCATCCATCCTTGTTCTACTTGTACTTCTTGCTAATGAAAAATTTTCAATAAATAATCCTCAAGTGAGTTGAGGTGAAGTAATTACTTAGTGCATCACACTCAAACCTATCGAAATAGCAAGAATAATCTGTTGAAATGTCACTCAATTGTTGCAATTACAATAAAATAGTCATAAATTTTTAAAATTCCTTCATTTTTATATTCATCATCTTATTTCTCTTAAAGTCATCAAAAAAATGATGAATTAGGAAATAAATTCAAAAAAAGCACAACTTTTTATAAAGCAGAACATAAATTGAGGAGCTATGAAAAAAAATAAAATCATCTAAAGTTTCCACGAAGGCAAACTCAACAGACACAATTTAAGGATCGCCGAGATAATAATTTTTTTTAATGTTTCATTTTGTGATTTACAAAAACTTATGATGCTGCGAGCTCCACGTGCCTCATCATGGCTGATCATTATTTTTTTGTTATTAGATAGGACTAAAAATAAAGCAAAAACTCCCGAGAGGCACAATATATCACAAATGAGTTGCTGATGACAAACTCTCGGAAAATTATTCAAATTGAAAGAACATTCGGAAACTTTCATCATTTGTCCTTTGCCTATAATTGGTAAAATTTCGACGAAAAACTAGATTGCATAAATATCAAAGTTCTTTTTTATTTACATAACAATTGAATCTGCATGCTGTTGAACTGTGCCTCTCGGAATAATACCATACTAATAAATATTGTTATTTTTGAACCTTGAGGCATAAAATAAGGCATTGAATATCATTTCTGAGAAGTTGATTTTCTTTTTCATTCTGATTTGTTATTTATGGGCATTAAATAAATATTGAAGCTGTATTAAAATTCAATAAATTATATTTTGACAACTTTTATAAAAGTAACCATGGTTTAACATTTTAAAGACCTTAGCTATTCTACTATAAGCTCCTCCTGCCAAATCATTGATGCATTGACTTGAAATAACGATTTAAAGATAAAATTCTCCCCAAAGAACAAATCAAGGAAAATGAAATTTCCTTTTAAAGAACAAAAAAAAAAATCACGTTTAATGTCAAAGCCTTCAATTTCACACTCCGTATAACAACCGAGCTTCCGCTACAATAAAGCTCAAATTACTTCCTTTGATACATTTTACTCATGTGCTGAAATTATTAACATATCTAATTTTGTCATGTCGTTATGGATGTTGTATATCCATGCATGTTTATACGAGGAATAAAAATAAAAGAAAATATTTCCGTGAAAACTCTTCAGACATAATTTTTCTGCATTTTTACGCACGTGACGAAGGGAAAATTTGGAGTTGCTCACTTATGTTCTCATCCTCAAAGCTACAATTTACATCACAAGACGCATCATGGTATGTAAATTTTATGTGTGTAGCTAATGATTGATAGAATCAGTTCTATATAATATAAAGAATTACCACACGAGTATTCTTAATCAAATGTAGTTTAATAATAGCTTTAATACATGCTTAACTATTAAAAGATTGAATTTTTCTGACATTTGTATTTCGATTAATAAGTTATGCTGTTAATGGTTTGCTATATGCATTAATAATAGACCAAAAATATTTGAAGCTCTTTTATGGCACATTTTCTTATTCAAATACAGCCTGATTGTGATATAATATTTTCAATCCCTGTGTTCCCCCAAATATAAAAATTTCTGGCTAAACCCCTGATTCCCTGACTTCCTTTAGAAGTCACGGAGTTCAAATTTCATGTATCAAAGCTCTCATTTAAAAGTGAATGCGTTTCCAAACTTTCCCAAAATTAAACTGACGTAGAAAAAATTACAGAAGTCCTCGTGTTATTGATCGAGGGACTTAACCGCATTTTTGTGTTAGCGATCAGTATTTGATTATCTAATTATTTGGCGTTAATTTACAGATCATTAAAAGATTAGAAGATCATTAATTTAAGTGAAAAAGGTTTATCACAAGATATATAGATGGGCTCATACAGAGTATACTTGACCATACTCGACCATACTATTTTTTGTGTACTTATACAAACAAAAATTTTTAAAATTTTCTATTTTCAAGTTTTCATTTAAATATCGACAGATGCAACAACTTTTGACTTTAGTCAGTTACTTT